GCGCGTTGCTCAAGCCCTGGCCGCCCGAGACGTGATTTTAAGACCTGAATTCACCCCTCAGGTTCACGCCACCTTGGAGCACAGGAGCCGCATCACGAGCCTTGCCTCAGATATTGTCCAAAAGAGCAAGTTTTGCCGCAACGAACTCCTTAAACAGCAACAGAGGCCCAGCGCTCAGCGTTTCCCCCCGTCTATTCCTGCTTCTTTGGAGCCGCTGATTGGCCGCTCCCGGCGAATCCTAAGCGACTTGCGCAAACTGGGAGAGGTACTGGAGCTGGCAGGCATGTCCGTTAAAGCCTTGGAAGTCAGCCGCGAGGCTGAGAGCTTGTTCAACGTGCTGGAGTCAAGTGGAATGCTAGGCAGCATTATGAATGTGTTTGGGTTCTTGAATTTTCCGGTTAGCCCGAAGCCGCGCAGGAGCTTCACAGATCGCTTGACAGAGTCTATAAAGGAGCCACCTACAAGCAACCAAGGCGGGAAGGTTTCCTCTGCTGAGGCGTTATACAAAGGAGGGGAGTCTTCAGACGACAGCTCCTCATCTTCTGTGTTTATGGGGGAAGACGCGGGCGAAGGCAGCAGCAAGCACCTCTCTTCCTCAGCGCCTTCAGTTAAGGCCATGGATGGACGCAGCATCTTCAGAGAGCAACGAAAAAGCACGTCTGCTCTCCGCGGGACCCCCACGCCCCAAGAGGGCATGAAAACTTGGCGGTCTTTTCCAGAGCTAATGGGCCGCCTGTTCATGAACACTGAACCCGAGCCGACTCACCCAGGCTCCTCCGAAATGTATGCAGATCAGCGCGTTCTTCTTCTCTCTCCCGAATCTCTGGCTACCCCGGACTCATCCTTCGACAAGGGTGAGGAGCCGTCTGATGCAACTGACTACTCGTCGGACGAATCAACCGACGCCTCTGCTTCGCTGCAGCGTCGGAGCTACGGGGGAATGAGTCGGAGGCAACGAGCGTCCTCCCGAAGGAAACAAAAAGACCCGTTTCCGTTTCACGGAGGAAAGTCTTCGCGGCCAGGCGCTGCCGGATACACTCCCGAAAAGGTTGTCAGGCTACTTCAAAAGTGGGAGCAACGGACACAGCAACTACTCCAGAACGATTCAGATCAATATTACCGGCGCGGCCCCCTCGAGTTCGCGCTACAGGAGGGGACGCAGCTGGTGTCTACCTGGGGACAGCCAGAGAGCGCTGCAGAGGCCACAGGCTTCAGCGCACAAAGTGTACTTGAAATTAAGCAACAGGTGGAGAGCTGCCAAGACCTGTGCACCAAAGTTCGTCAGCGTCTTGTAAAGAGAGCGATCAGGGCTCTAAAAGAATCCGAGCGGACGCTTTCCTCGTCCCTGCAGGCGCTGCAGAATGCTTTAGAACAAGAGCGCTCATGCGCAACGGGGACGCCTTGCTTCAATAGAGTGGTGCTGCTGGCCGCCTCCACAACTGAAAAGTCAAGAACCGTCTACTTCATGTACTCGCCGCTGGTTGCGGCGCCTGAGCCCTCGGTGGAGCTGAGCGGGGCCCTGAGAAGGCTAGCAGAAACGGCAGCAGCAGTAGCAGGCCTTCTCGACGAAGCAGCAGAGCGCTTGAGCGCCACCGATGGAGCTCAGAGGAAAACAGGACAGAAGCAAGCGGCCATCGCAGCCCTCGAAGGGGCTGTGGGGGAGCAGGTTGCAGCGAGCGCTATCCGAGAAGCCTCAGCGACGGCAGCAGAGGGGCGCCCTGAAGTCGCGGGGCCTTCTTCGGCCACAGGAGAGGCGCTTATTTCTATGGCAGCGTCCAAGGCCAGCACAGTGTTGGCGATGCTACAAGGACAGAAGGCAAGATAGGGAGTATGAGAAAAAGAGGTGACGGACAATGGGCGCTTACTCGGCGCAGTCGCATGTATATCTGGTGTAACAACCTAAACAGAAAGAAGAGGCTTAGGGGGAAGCAACGACGAATGTCGTGAAAGGAATGAGGTGCATCGCTTGCTCCTCAGCCGCTGCAGCTGGTGCTAGAGGCATTGCGGCTACAGCAGCAAGACCAGCGGCTACGCCTTCTGCAGCTGCACAATCGCAGCAGCAACCGCTGCTGCTACTGTACCCCGAGGATATTGATTCTGTTTTGCCTCTCCATATACTTGCTGGCAGATCCTCCATCGGTGTACACAGGTTCCTGTGATGCCCTCACATCTCCCTACCCACAGCTTCTGCCCATAGTGCTGCTGCAATTGCAGCAGCCGTTTTATGATTTTCGTTTTTTTGGCTGGAAAATCCCCCCACCTCATCGCCTCCGCTGCGTTTCGTGGCCTGCAATTATGCAGGGCTGCCTTGGAGCCCTTCCTTCACAGATTTCGTTTTGGCTCCTTATCTATTTTTGGTGAGTAGACAGGCAGATGCACACCTCCTGTCTTCATGCCGGTCTGTATTTTCACACCCTCCCATGGTTAGGAGGCCTCCAGGTGGTCCAACGGGTCCCTGGAGGCTCCTCTACACTGGGCTCCCTCCAGCGAATGGGTGGCTATGGAGTTAGCCTGGGTAGGCTGTTGTAGGATATGTGTCGCTGTTTTTTAGAGCAGATAGTCGAGAACAGTCTGCGTCGGTGTATTTGGAAAGGCCCCTTGTGTTTTGTGTGGGAGGGATCATACATGTACTAATGTACATCTACATAAATAAGTACTACACATACGTGAAACACTGAATATACTAGACTTGTATATCCACGTGTAAGTCTACATGCATGTGGGCGTAAATAAGTGTGTGCACGTAAATATATCTATATTCACGTATTCCTGTATACAGATACAAACCGAAATAGCAGCGCTCAGTAGAGGTGCTGTACTTGGCTACTGCACGCGGATCGGTGGAGCCGCAGCAACTCTAAAACCCCTCGTTTCACGGCGTAGTCTTGTGCCGTTGAAAATTTTGAACAATCGCAATTTTTTAGCGTTTCGCGTTGGTTCGATGTTCAAGGCGTGCCATTGCTGCCTGGTGATGACGAATATCTCACGGGCCAGCTTTGTTTACCTTTTCAGACTTGCAGATGTAAATAAACACATGTGCGCTTTTGTTTGCATTTACGCACGCCTGTGGAGGCACCTGCACATAGCAGTGGTCTGGACTTGAGTGCGTATCTGCTCGGATGTGAAAGGGGGACCCCCTGCAGTTAAATGAGGCCCAGCAACCCTAAGAAGATCACGAGAGAGGCTTTGAGGAGGCCTCCCGTGCCCATCCTGGTCGCCGCGCGCACACTTTTGCGTGAGGCGCTGGCGAGGCAAGTTGGCTGTGCTGAAGGGGGTTCTCCCGAAAATGAGCCTACTTGCACAACCCAAAAGATGCTAAGCCTCTCAGCTTTAGTCTCTGTAATGCAGCCTCAAGATTTGCTAGAGGTTTCAGTGGAGTTACAGGCAGGCAGCCCTTCAAAGCTTGCTAGGAACGCTAGATATGGGAAGCCTATGAAACGGCAGTCCAAGCAGAAGCTGTTGACAAGCAAAAAGGCATCAGCAAGACGCCGACCAAAAAATAATGTTGAACGAACACATGCACGGAGTGTGCCAACGGCACTTTTCAGCGGGCGCGAACACCAACGGTCGCTCACTGAACATTCTGGGGCCCCCTTGCTTACTAGGCAGTGTCGTCCGCGTTACTTAGTTTATTTCTCATTTAAATGCACTTTCTTAAAGACGTATCAATCAATGGCTTTCAGGTTTTGTCGTGATTTTTGTGCCTGCCGTGTGTTCATTTCCAAGTGCTGTTCTGGCTGGCAGGCGTCTTAGTTAAACCCCTCTTCGCCTCTGTCAAATTTGACGCGATTACACCGCTGCATTGGTACAACCGTGCAGTACACGTGAGATCTGTGGAAACGGAGCTACAGGGAAGGATTGAAAATTCTACACACATTTCTCAGGACTGCAGGGAGCTCCAACATCAGCATGTAACGCCCCGCGTTTTGGTCGTGGGGATGTCTGCAGAAGGCGAATCTGGACAGCCAAAAGGAAGAATGTTCCTAAATGTCCTCAATGGAATACAAAAGTCTGAAGACTGTGACACCCACGCCCCTGCACAGCCAGTCCAGGAAAGTGAAGGTTCACGTCCCCAAGAGCAAACGACAGCAGCACTCTCGGCAACCAACTCAACTGCAGCCCCGTTTTCACTCCCTTCAAATATAAATTGGAACGCCAGGCCACAGTTGGCTGCTGGGGCTTCTGGGGCAGCGGCGCTGTTGACTTGCTGTGCTTTGCATCCTTTTGACCTCATCAAGACACGCATGCAAGGTACAGCAGGGACGAGTAGACGGAGGATGCAGCAGAACTATAGAGTAGTTTCAGTTCTTCATCCGGGGCATATTTCTTCTGTTTATGCTGAATACTGAGTGCTTTGCAACTTCCACTTCTACCGATTGTATTCTTCTTTGCTTATGTTGGCAAGGGAATTCGTTGTTTGCTTTTTGACTTGCTCTTGAGTGTTCCCCACTTCGACGATTCTTGGAAAGTGCTGAGAGGCTGGCTCAGCAAGGCTCTGTGAGGGTGGCAATTGTTGTTTCCAGCTCATGAGTCGAGTGCAACTAGCGTTACCGTTTCGTCCCTGTTTGTCTTGCATTAACTTGGAAGTGCTTTCATCTTCAAGACCACCGTTTCTTGTGGCCTTTTGTATGAGCAATTCGCCGTTTAATTCTGTACCTGTATTTGTGCAACGTCCTCTCGTGTGTTGGAACGTATATTCGGGAGTCTGTCTCGCTATCGTGGGTCAATAAGCGCTTACGAAAACACTGCATTGGCGAGCATTACAGGCTGTTATTACCCTTCAGCTTGTCAGTTTGCTTGTATGCCATTCAGTTGCAGCAGTCACTGGTGGGGCTATCCCTCTCTACGGTTCAACCAAGTCTGCAGTAGCACGAATATACAAGCAAGAGGGCCTGCGGGGCCTGTGGAAAGGTATCGGGGTGACTGCTTTGGCCTCTTCGACATCATGGACATGCTTCAGATACGTGTAGGCTCCGATTTACACTATTCTGTTTTTTCCCATGAGTTGCGCAATCTATCGTGATAGGCACTGCAGGAACTGCAAAGCAATAGAGCCCAGTCAGGAATGCAGCTTCCAAGTGCTCGACTCCCGCTCGAATATTTGCAAAATCGACATTTTGCATTGTGTCTGAAAATCTTGCTGCGTGTTTATATATGCTTAGTATCCTTTCAGGGAGATAAGCGGTGATCCCGGTTCTTGATTGTATCTTTTTTCTTCCCGCGCACGAGTTGGCTGTCTGTTGCAGATTTCGCTTGTACTGCATGCAGATTTGATCAGCTGAGTCTCAGTTTACCTGGCTGGAGAGAATCTGTTTTTGGAAACTCCAACAAAACAAATGGAGTAGCTCAGAGAACGTCCCTCGACGACATGGTGTGCGTGCACCTCAGTGCCAAGCTCTCGTCCCGCAGTTGTTCATCATTCTCTTGATTATTAAAACCACTATTTGAATCTGGGGCGGATTTTTTGAACACCAGTTCAAGCATGCTAGCGGCTTCAGCCATTTGTAATTTACTCGCAGCTCACCTTTTTTTTTGTTTTTGCTGTTCCAGGCCAGTGGCCTCGTCGCCGGCGTTTTAGTCACGTGCTTGACTCATCCGCTGTGGCTTGCCAAAGCGCGAATGGAGATGCAGGCAAAAGAAGCTGAGGTAGGAAATTCCTTGTTTCATCGTAGACTGTCTCCTTTAAATCTTAATTGAAGGACGCTCACAGTAAATTCTAGTCATCTGCGTAGGCTTTCGACATAGCTGGTGGTGATTGACTATGTGGCACAAGGCATCGAATCAAACGACACATAGATTCTGCAGGCGTCGGCAACGGGGAGGAGGCAGAAGTGCAGCTGCAGTTTCGGTATCCTCAGCTGTTGCCGTTGCCGTCTCTGCTGGTGCTGGCAACTGTGCTGCTGTTGCTAACCGTACTGCCGAGGATTCCTCTGCCGCGCTTTTTGTTTAATTCTCTAATAAAAGTTCTGTTTGCTGCTGCAGTATCTATTGTTCCCTGTTTGGCTGCTGCTGCGAACTCACCTTGCTAGTGCTGTTGCCTGCGCTGTAGCTAAGCCTTCTTCCTCTGTATCTACCTTCTTTGTGCACACGCCGATATGGACCGCTCGGGGTCGTGCTGCTTGGTCGTGCTTTCCTGTACACCTCTATTACTTTAGCTCCCTTTCTGTTTGTTTGTGTATCGGTGTCCGTTTTTGGCGTGCCCACTTACGCGCCGCTTTCTGTCATTGCATGTATGTCTGGTTGCGTTTTGCTCACTTCTGTCTGTGCTGACTGTCGTCTCTAAGGTTGCTGGTTGGCCTCTTTTCCGCAGCGGCTTTAGTTGTATAGTGAGCGTCGCCCGTGGCGGCGTGCGAGAATGTTACAAAGGGATTGGCCCTGCCTTAGCCTTAGCCCCGCATGCTGCAATCCAGATTGCCGTTTATGAACGGCTGAAACGGAATCAGTGGGTGCACATGTTGCTCAGACATAGCTCATGACAAAAAGGCAGAGTTGACAGTCTGCGGCCTTCTGGCAGATGAATCATTGTAGATGATTTCAGGTCATTTTCCTGTCTCAGCGCCTCACAAGGTTCGTGCTCCACCTCAACAGGACTGCCCGCTTTGTGGGGAGCCGCCTCGAAATTCGCTGCTCTTTCCGTTACGTATCCTCTCCAGGCAAGTTTCTGAGCCCTAAGTTCTTGTTTGTTTGTTGTCCCTTTTGCCCAAGGTAGCTTGAGGAGTCTAGATATCCGTTAGAGAATCGAGTTATTCAGGGTTTTAGCAGGCCGCAGATGCAGCAGTTTGTTGTAGGGCTGCTTGCGCTGACCGTGCAGGTCCTGCGCAGTCGACAACAGGTATACAGTACCCCATACGCCAATCTGAACTTTCTGCAGATTGCGATCGTGAGCTCATAGTATCTTCATCCCCTTCTTAGCATCTGTGAAACGAGCTGTCTCGGGGTCAGTGCTGTTGCCTAGGCAGATGCAGTTGATGGTGCCAACAGGAGCTTCAGTAGCTAAAGCTGGTGCAGACGCCGATTGCAGCAGCAGAGGCGGAGCTGGCGTTGCGTGTCTGCAGTTTGACTGCACCGTCAGCTGAGGTGCTGTTGCAGTCACATCAGTTGCGGCTTTTGCTGTATCTACAAATGCTAGCCAGCTACTCTACTGATATACTCTGGCTTCGCATGCTCCGCATGCTTCGCATGGTCAGGTGTTTTATATTTACAGAGAATGGTCCGGGAGGAAGGAGTTCTCTCTCTTTTCGGCGGCTACTGGGTCCATACGCAGCGTGCGTGCCTGCAAAGCGGCATCATGTTCCTTATTTATGAGGGAATTTTGAACGAAGCCAAATAAGAGGAGGGGGTACAGGAGCTTTCAGAGCTCTCTTGTAGTCCGCTCACAGTGGAAGCATATGGCTTGCTGCTGCAGCTACTGGCAAAGCGGATGTGCCTGTTTGTGTATACGTACCTATGCATAGAACAGAGTTGTTGCCTCTGCCACTGATATAAAGCAACTGCATATCTATGATTGGTGGAGTTGTTGCTGTTTGCGGCAGAACTATAGGGAAGTATTAGAGCGCAGAGGTGACTTGGTCCCTTTGCAGCAATGTGAGCATAGCAAACCTGCAAAGGCAGGTTCGCAAGCGATGCGCATGCGAATGCTTATCTTTTGAAAATATGTCCTTGACTAGTTACAAGTACTTCTAGATATTGACAGACATGCAAACATGCGCCCCTCCTGCTTCCCCTTTATCACAAAAGCTTGTGACTTACACAGTTACAGGCACCGGAGGGCGAGTCCTCAGTATCACATGCATGCGTGCATGTCTGCTGTTGTTTTGATAGCAGCACAGCAGCAGCATTACAGAGTGAGCTCTTCAGGACAAGTTTTTCTTACCTTCCTACATACTCACACTAAGCTAGCCTACAGGCAGAGAATAGTGTGCGCACGATCCATTAGCAACTGTGCTCTACCTCTGCCGCAGAACCAGCAGTTTGCTTCTCTTTGTGCCTTCCAAAGCCAACATGGGTCTTAGTGTTCATGGCAATTTCCTGGACATCAGCGCACTAAAACACAAAAAATCTTTTCTGTTTGCTTTCGCAGCAGACCGGAGTCCGGTGAGAGTAAAGGAAGAGACGCGTGCAAAGGCCATCATATCCAAAGAAATTTATGACACTCAACAACGAATGCAGTGCACGTTAGTTGCCGTTCCCTGGTAGACATATCGCCTTGTGGTGAAAGCGCTGTGGCAGTTCTTCCCATTGAGGCACTCTGTATGAAGGTGTATGTGCATTTGTATGTGCATTCACTGGTATATATAGATGCTTGAACTGGACTCCTTCATGCACGTCCTGCACGTTTGTGTGAATTTGCAATACTTCAAAACATATGCAGGCCTTCCATGCTTGAATGCATGCAAGGGGCCCCCAAAGTGTGTGCAACGTGCAATGTGGATTTCCAAGGCCTCAAAACGGAGACAGGCCCTCCGTGTTTGGATGCATGCAGCATGGCCTAGCGGTGCCTCTGAATGGGGATGGTGACTAAACTGTTTCGCTTCGTCACTTGCAAGGACAGCTGCTGGTGTTAAGTTGAACGCACGCATCTCCATGAGCTGTTCTATCGACAGCAGGTACAACATCAGAGCGACAAACTGAAGCCATAAAACGTCTACAAAGAGCCTTACAAGAGAGATGGGGCCAGGCAACAGTCAGGGACCCTCATAAGAGTTTTCCTACTCCGCACGAATTCACAGAATCGATGGGCAACCGTCCTCCTATTCGTTTCATGATTTGCTCGTTGCTTTTTTTGCCCGTTTCTCCCCCGAAAGCTAATTTTGCATAATGCTTCAAAAGTAGCGCAGTAAAGCCTCCCTGATCACAGGGCGTATGTCGTACACCTGCTCGTAAACAAACACAACATGAAAAGGTGTTGAGCACTCAGCCTTCTACGTTGAGTATCTAGGCTCAAGAGCTAAGGGTTCGAAAGTTCTCACCGTCGCAAGGGAACGCAGTATAGGTATCAGATCGAGCAGTTCTGTGTCATTTGGATCGTCAAACCTGAATTCCATATACCATAACAAGTTGCATTCGCGCGTCACACAACCAGACTCTTGAAATAGCCATTTAAGGACTAGCCCCCTGAGCTTCGGATCTTCAGTGGACACAGCGACACGAGCAGGCTACCCAAAGTGTACAAACGCAGAGGAGGCCCAACTAAGCATGCCCGTCAACAGGAAAATACGCATATGCTCATCCGCTAAAGGACTCATGTGTAGGAAATTTACGGAAGTAAATTTCACATACAGACACATACAGGTACCACAAACACGTCTGGTTCGGAAGTCAAATTAAGGTACATCGCGGAGATCACATGTATTCAAATTCGGTCATTGGCACAGGTGCCAACGCGCATATCCGGCATACGTGACAAATATTTCTAGATGTGTCAAGCAAGCGCGCACATTTCTACACGCTGGTACAGCGGTAAGCTCTGAGTAGATGTTACAAACGTGCGTTACTGCAGGTTTTCTTATGCATACACTTCTACTGCATAGGAAGGGCAACACCAGCCGCAGCAGCGGCTGCTTACCAGCTTTTGATGGGTATTGCGTTTTCCATGTGCCACAAGTAGGCCTTGGTGGAGTTGTCTATAATAATCACGTTGCGAAGTTCACGGCCTAGAAGAGATAAATCTTTAATAAAGGCGCCGCTCCTACAAAGCAGCAAGACAAATTGAACAAAAAAGTGGATACAAAGCCAATGGCAGCGCCAACAGGCAACGTGAGCAGCGGAACAAAAACACATCAAAGGGACGGTAAGTAAAGGCCAAAAGAAAGGAAAGGGGGACACAAAATTTCACGGAAAACTGATTCGCAACATTTTGATGTGTACGGCAGCCAGAGAACGTTACAGCAATAGATGAGCTGATAAAAAGACGAATGAGCAAGCAGCGGAAGTACAGAAATGGGAAAAAGGAACAGTCGAAGCTCTTCCTACCGAATAGCACATATCATGTACATACTATGGGCATCAGAAACAGACAACGCAGAAAAGACAATCAGACACTGAGGAGAGTAGGAAAGCTCTTAGAAAGTGTTAAACTGTACGTTTCAAAAACTCTACCGGGCGTGCACGAGTGAACAACAGACTATGCCAAGCATTTCGTTCGGCCATGGAGGCAAATTCAGCTCCAGTCAACAGCTGCGGCCTATTTCGTGGGGGAAATTCATACTTGTACCCGAGCACAGGCTCGCAAACATGTATTCGCATACTTATTAAGTGCATTTAGTGCAATGAAGCGGATACCGGCGCAATTATATTCGGCGCAGCTATATGAACTCATAAACAGCAGTGAAGAAAAGTATATGAATCAAACTGGTGAGCATATTTAGTTTACTCCGCATGAGAGAGAGCACGCAATGAGGCAAAACTGTAGATATTGTACTCCTGAGAACTCCGTGATGCAATTTCTTCAAACAGGGCGTAGACAATGCAGTAGCCATCCACACCCAGCAATACGAATCTTACTTCTCAAGTCGCATGAACTTCTCTGTAAATTATAATGCCCCTAAGAGCCTGATATGCGATTTCGCAGTTAAAGTGCTGAATGAGTGCTCTGGTAGTCACACAGGTACGTTGCTTAGGCTCACTGGTACGTGCAGTATTCTCGGAAGAGTCTGTACGAGCACAGTTTGTGCGGGTCAATTTTGTCCACTACCAAATCCGCGTACTGCAGCGCAAGCAGCTCATCTCCAAGCAAAAACGAACTTCTGCGACAAATTGCATGCGTTTCCACCCCGATATGCTCCTTTGTCGCTACTTCTGCTACATTAACTGTTGACTACATTAACTGTTGACGCGGAAACACTGGTACAATTCTATCCATGCGTTTCTTTATGTGGTTTTGTACACGTATATATCTCTGCACATTTGCACAATTCGACTCATGTTCATCGCCACTGTTTCCTAAATCGAATAGCCTCTGCCTGTGCAGTGCACGTGCATTCACGCATAAATGCCAGACCCTTACTCCGGACACAGAGGCAGTGAAGATGACAACCTCATACAGCTTCGACATTTCCTTTAAAAATTTAGTGACGCCTTGAAAACCAAAACAGCGCACCAAGAAGCGGCAGAAATGTCGGAACCTGATGCGGCCTCTTTCTGCCTACATTTGCATCTGCCTGCCTCTCTGTTCATCTCTCCTAGTTTGCTTCTGTCTATGCCGCTTGCTTTCTCTGTGCTTATTTCTCCGTCGTTGCCAGAGGATCTATGTTAATTCTACATATATCATTGTCCCGTGCATGTGGCAATCAAAAAAACGTTCTCTAGCCTTTGCTCTTGTAAAAGGCGCCGCGCCACCTCACAAGAACGAAATCCAGACAAATAGCTAATGTTATACATCGTATGCAGAATGCATGCATGCACTGACGGCGTCTGAAGAGAGGCAATTTTATATGAGTCCCACAGCGCGGTTCCGCCATGTTAAGCGAAGGTGACAAGACGGCACGCAGACAAGACAAAGCAAGTTGCACTGCAGGAGTCCTTGTCACCTGGACGTCGTTTGATGTATACTTGTCTTGGCCGCTTTTTGAAGTTGACCTGTACCACAAATCCAGATGTTACGGACAGGCTTTGTTCTCACGCTGAAGCTTCCTGGAGAACTAACAGAGGACCAGAGAAAGACCGCGACACTTTTACGAGAAGGCAGGGCCCCCTATCACAACATATCCCAAATTGCCGTACCCAACGTCTGGAAGAACCAAAACGTGTAGAACTTTGAGAGGATAAAAGGGAAAGGGAACAGGCGCACCGTCACAACAAAAGTGTAAGTGCGAGGCTTGACTAAGCTGCTACGCACGAGAGTCTCATCCAGGTCCAACACTAAAGTCTTCTTGCCCTAAATAAGCAGCAAATAGCGACACACTGAAGCTGCAAATGGACTCTAGATACTCCGTATGAGGAATATACAGTGACGTAGCGTGACACAAGAAAGGCAGATAGTGACGAGAATTAAAGAGGAAACAAGCCACGCACAAGCCATTGAAGAGCTGAACATAAGAACCAGAGGCTCGAACATGCCTAGATATGTCAAAGGGATACAAGAAGAGAAATGGAAATAGAAGTCAGGTGCCATTTTTGGGTCTGGAAAAGCCCCCCACGATGACATGCGGGATATCCTGTACGACAGGGAGCTTCGAAAGCCTATCTGGTGCAAAGACCACGTGTGGTGAATATCTGTTTCCTAGGTCTGTCCCTTTGCGATATATATCAGTGGAACTTCGTCAGCGCCCACCGCATCTTTCGGAAGTTGAGGAGGGAGAAAAGGAACAAGTTCAGCGCTTGGGTTGATGCGGATGAGGCTACACGGGAGCTGCAGCAAACAAAGCAGCCACAGCAAACTAGTTTTGCCTCTGTTTGCCTCTGCAGCGCTTCTTCTGCTTCTGCCCAGCTCTTGGTGTCTTTTCAGGCCTTCTATCCCCTTTCGTCTTCTTCTTCGAAATTCTGTCCCTCCTACTTGTTTAAGTGTGATACCGTTCTTCCGTGTACACCCGCTGCCTATGCTTATCTGCAAATTCTTCTGCCCCTGCACTTGTGCCATTGCCTACGTGCCCGTTCCTCTTTCCCTGCATTTCACTGTCCTATTGAGCGACTTCAGCAAAGGACGACCAGCAAGAAAACAACTAGTGCTATCCGTGTAAAACTTGCATGAGCAAGGACGCACTTGTCTGCTTTGAGGTTTCTTGCGCGCCTTCTTTCTCCTCAGCCACTGACAGATACGGGCAGGAGATAAGAAGCCGAAGCACCACGGCGTCTTTGCGCAGCGCCTTTTCGTTTCTTCCTGTAAGCTGTCGTCCTCTGTTTTTGGTGCTTCACTTTTCACTTGCTGCACCGAGCTTCGCCAATTTGCACTCAAGCATTGCGCAGAGGTCTCAGAGGCGCCCAGCGCAGATCTTTGCCTCATTAGCCAACCCCGGCGAGGCGGCGCCTCCCTTTCTGCAAATGAAGGGCAATCGAGGTCCTTTTCTTCTTCCTCCTGAGACTGAAGTTGTCCGGACCCTGCCGCTGAAGCCATCTCCTGTAAAGGGAGGCAGTTTTCCGTCTGGCTGAAGCAGACAAGGGAAGTGCTTTCTGTGCCGACACGGTGCCAGTGAAAGGCAAAGAACAGCACACAACGAAACAAGGTGCCCTCTTAACAAACAGGACGGTCACGGGGAAGAACCCACGGCATTCGCCGGAGAGAAAGGACTCCCGCTGGCTTGGTCTTAGCCCACCAATGCATCCCACTTAAAAGATGAACAGCTACAGACTCCTTTCGATTTGACCTCAACAGCTAAACTCCGGGAGACTACGTGAAGCCGTAGCAGGTTTTCTGCACCCTACTCGCGCAGATCCTAAGATATGCACAGATATAATGGGGGTCTGTGGTTTTTACAGGGCTAGTTGAAGCTTCGTGCAACACCTTCCAGAGCCGTCCACGAGCATGAACACGTCCTGAGAGCTTCGGCCTCAGGACTTCGTTTCTAGCGTTTAGAGATGGGGGCAACTGCTGTCAAGCTTTTCAGCGAGGTCAGAATTGCATTCTCTATAGGAAACAGATGAAGGCAAACTTGACAGCCGGTGATGTTCTCTTGACTACAGAAAGTGACCTCAGAAAGGACTTGGGCCGCGCGGCGACCCCGCAGCTCCGCCGGAGCTCCCGACAAACGTAAGGAAAAACGCTAACAAATCAAGATGTACAGGAAACTGGAGGGTGCTGTCGAAAACTGGTGGGGAAAATAACAAAAAGAGGACTGGGAGGTCCAGAGAGATCGCCGAGTGGACCAGCGGGCACACCGTCCGCAGCAGCTCCCACATACTGGGTATTTCTCTGCTTCACAGGGCTATAAAGCACTCATTTACCATAAATATGCCCTATATATATCCTTAAACTCAACAAACAACTATTTCCGCTGCAAGATACCACGGACAGGACCCCAAAGCTGGGAGGTCGCGATTGCTGCAGCCAAGTTGACCAGTGAGGGCACGCTTATCTGGTTGACATTTCTTGCAACGCCCTCAAGAATAGATAAATGCTTGTATCTGTGTCTTTGGTTCCAAGTAGTTGCATTTTGGGCACAACCTTATGTTTCTTCAACGCTCCGTAATTGCCAGGAGAGGCTCTTGAACCCCCAACTGTACAAATTCGAAGTGTTCTCAAAGGCACATCCCCCTTACTGCGCGAAGACATTCCACTGTGTACATGCCTGTGTTTCAGTAGTTGTATGACACGCTGCATTTGCATTCCCTTACACAATTCGCCAGGCTGTGAGGGTCTACAGTGGCTGACGAAGCATTAAATAAGGACACTTGTCCACAGCGCAATGGCAAAGCGCGAGAATAAGGGGCTGTAGGAGGTGAAAACGTTGCCGCCGTTCTCAGAAACAACTAACGGCCTTGAAAAAGGACCCAAAGAACCGGGAAACCAGATCCAGGGGCCATTCCCCAGTGTCCCCCGTGTTGAACTGCTCGGAAACTTGCAACGCAGCGCGACGGCACCAGCTATCGGCTACTTAATCAACTAGAAAGGCCCTAAATCCTGAACCGCATTGTAAATGACCTAAAAACATAGAGAGAGTCAATAGGCCACGAAAGGCAACGCAAAAGAAAATTGGTAGCTGCCAACGTGCAAACCCACACGAGTGAAGGAAACTCGCCAAGACAGACACCCCGGGCAGAAAGAAGCCGCAGTTCTCCCCGTTACAACCTAGTTTGCTGTATTTATTTACAGCTTGAATCCATACATCTGACGTGCCATTCGAGCTAGGAAAAAATCGACGAAAAATATCAAAGTTTTCACCTAATGTGTAAGCCCTGCTAATAGGCGAAAGTTCACAGCTGTTTTCTTCTTAAGCCACACAGGGCCATCAGCCCTTGCGCACTAGTCTTTACGGCTGCCAAAGGCAAATATATTCTCCTCAAAGACACCATCCACGGGCGAAACCCCAAAAAATACAAAAAGAGGCTCAGCCTTCTGTCGAGCCCAGTGAAGCCCATGAGGTGTTACGGGCTGTGCCCGCCAAAGACCCGTCTACCCCAAAACAGGCATGAAGGACCTCTTTAGGATCTTAACCGGAAGTCAAAGTATAAAACACTCTGAAACACTCCATCTTTAAACTACCACGAGCCGCCATATTCAAACCGAAGGCCCCTCAGCCACCCCAACGCCCTGCCAGCACACACTGGCTTTTGCATCTCGATGAAATATAGCGCAGCACCTGCAGCCCTCAGCAGCACCGTCGAAGACACAGGAGTCCCCGGCAAGCCGCGAACTACATTAAGAAAACTAAGTAGGCCCCAAGGCTGCCAAGGGCCATATGCCGCCCACAGAAGACTCAAGATGCCACCGAAGGAGCCAACATATTCTTGGAAGAACTCCAGCTGCTCTTTCTCATTCCTCTTGTGCTTCTTGACCAAATGCTGTCGCGAATAATAATAAGAATCCGCTATCTGCGCCACTCCAGGCGTCCCCTAAGCGCCCCCGCAAAGCCGCATGCAGCGATCGGGGGCGTTTCGATGGCCGCTCACAAGCCCGTAGAGCCCATTCGCATGCGGGCAAAACTGGCTTTGAATGAGGGGAAGGGAAGCAGACGCTATGGCTGCTTCAGCTGAGTCCAATCCCCCTTCATTTGATGTCGACGCATGCACAAAACAAAGAGAGCCCCCAGGTTTCTATCGGCGCTGTGGGGCCCCACACTCGGGTAGCTGCTGCAGGCGCCTATTGCCTGCTGCTGCTGCTGGCAGCAGCGCCTCAGGGCAAGGCGTGCCGCATGAAGCAGTTTGGATGCGACTGAACCCAAGTCAGGACTTCCACAGCCATTTGCCACTCCGTCGTGCAAGATAAAAAGAGCCTCTGGGGAAAGCGCGCGTTGGAGCCGGAGGAAAAGAACCGCCAAAGGCGTCCAAGTTGTTGTCTGGCGTAGTACGCTGCATGCACAAAAAGAGAACGACTTAACCAGCTAAAAGCAAAGACTAGCTAGCTAGCTGCCTAGCTAGCTCGCTAGCTAGCTACGCACTGCGTCGAGCTCCCTTGCCCACTCGAGGCTACAAAGGCCCCAACGCAGATGCGCGCCTTGAAGCATCTGAAGCATCCCAGTCCGTAGACTTATCTCTGTCGTTCTCTTTCTACGTGCCGCCACATGCAGGTGCATCTGTCACTACTTGCAAGTACTGCACTCAACTTTACTCGAATATATTCGCGTCCTAATGCGTGAGAGTTCATATCTCTGTGCATGCATGCATGCATGCATGCATCCATGCATGCATGCATGCATGCATGCATGCATGCATTCTCGCCTGAAAGCACGCAGGTGGGCATGCATGTCGAGTCTGAGTGCATTTAGGTGTGCGGCTCACTTCTCGCGAATCCCTGGTGTCTGCCCTCGAGTAAGAGGTCAATTCGACTCAGACAAAGGGCTTTGCCAGTGCCTGAGGCGTTGCGTTTGGCGACTTTGAGGAGGTCCTGCAGCAAAAGGGTTTCCCCGAAAAGGAGAGTCCTGAAGCCTTCACAAACAAAAGAGTTCGCGCAGATGCGGCCCATGACGTACAGCCACAGCGCGTTGCCAGCCACGGAGTCCACTCCCAGGCAGTCCCAGTCCCGCCCCGTCTGCAGCGCCAGGTGCAGGTGTGGGGCCAGAGTCAAAGTGGCTGCTAATGAGTTTCCCGAGGAGTTCATCAGCAGCGCAGCTTCTTCTTCCCACCACAAAGTGGCCCCCTTCGTCTGTTCGCTGGCCTGTGCCTGTTTTCCGGAGCTTCCCGCTGGCTTCCTGTGGGCGCTGGCTCCGGCGTCCCGGCTGCTCCTGCTGCTGCTTTTCTTGCTGCTGCTGCGGCTGCTGCGGCTGCTGCGGCTGCTGCTGCTGCTGCTGCTGGCAACGCTGCCGTCGCTGCTGCGCGCCTCGCGGGCAGGCAGCCCCGCCTTGCCCGAGGAAGCAGCAGCAGCGGGAGGACTTGAAGAGGAAAAGCGGTAGCCGAAATGCTCGAGAAACTTCTGCGGCACACACATTTCTGCATCCCGCAAAGTTTCTTCAACTTCGGGGGCCCCCACAGCAGCATTTCGCAGGCGCACGGGCTCTGCGTCGGAGTCCGGCGGGGTGTAGTAGTGCAGCAGCGCCTCGGCCCTGCCGTGCGCTGCAGCGCCTGCTGCTGCAGCAGCCACCGCTGCTGCAGTGGCTGCAGCAGAAGCTGCTGCTGTTGCATGCAGGGGCCCCGCAGCCCCCGGGTAAACCGTGGGGAAGACCGAGCGAGGAGTCCTCCCCTCCTCCTTGAGGGAGTGCAGCCACTCTGCTGCGTCCATGAGCGACAAAGCGAAGTCTGCAGTTTCCTTGGCTTTGAAGCGAACAACTTCTGTCAAGGCCTGGCGGCGCTCCGTCTGTCTCGCGTAGTAGGCAAACCGCGAGTCTTCTTCATAAGTCCTTTTGGCGTTGTCGAGGAAGTTTTGCGGCCACTCTTTCTCCAAGTCGGCCTGCCGCTGCAGCTCCGGCAGCAGCTGCAGCAGCTCCTCAGCAGAAGACTCGGGGGGCCCCTTGTACTCCGAGTCCAGCAGGTCTGCTGCGAGGCCCGCAGATATCTCGAGCAGCTGCCGCTGCATCTGCAGCTGCACGTCCACCACCTCGAGGGCCCCCCGAGACCCCAGGGGCCCCTCCCCGCGCTTCCCGCTGCTGCGGCCCCGGGCCCTTCGCCCCGCAAAGCTGCTGCTCCCCAGCCGCCCCTGTCTTTGCCAAAATGGCGCGTAAGCTGCGGGGCCCCTGCTGGTCTCTCGGGGGCCCCACCGGGCCCCTGAGCGCACGTCTTGGCTGCCTGTAGCTTCCCCCATTCCCTTGGTGCCTTCGAACTTCCTTGCTTCGCTGGACTCGCTCAGGGGGCCCCCCTCGCGGGGGTCCATGCGGAAGCTCGTGTCTGCTGTTGCTGCTGCTGCTGCTGCTCTGCTGTCGCTGCCCTCCCCCAGCCACGAAGGGCCGTCCAGGGGGCCCGCAGTCCTCCGCCGCTTTTCCGGGCGGCGCCAGTCGAGGGCCCCCTTCAAGTTGGGGGCCCCCCACCCCCGCCAAGGGGGGCCCCCCCGCTTCTCTTCTGCACTCATCACGGCGGCCAAGACCTCCCGCCGCAAGACATGCAGTTTGCTGCTGAGCCCCACAGTGAACTCCGCCAGCTCTGGGGCGCTGGCCACGTCCATGAACTGCACAAAAGGCAGACGCGAACAAAAGAAATAACTCAAGTCCGTTGCTGCTTGTTCAATTCTCCCCAGCACATCTGGAGAAACTGGCTGCAGCAGGGGCCCCACGAGGCTCCTCACAGTGCCCCACGGCGGCTCTGTGGCCCCCAGGGGCAGCCGGCGGGGGCCCTCCGCGCGCCGCCGCTGCTGCTGCTGCTGCTGCTGCTGCTGCGCCTCCCCGTAGGGCTTGGACAGCCGCTGGTGGGGGTCGTGGCCGCGCTGGCCCCGCTCGGGGGCCTGCGGGGGCTGCTCCCGCTGCAGCCGCTGCAGCTGCTGCAGCTCGGAAAACGGAAGACAGTCCGGCATGCCCCCCGGGCAAGGCACTGCAGCAGCCTCCATTTTAGCTGCTCCCAAGTCCAGCTGGACCGGCAGCAGCCGGCGCTGGCACTCTGCTGCGTCGAAGTCCGGAGTTCGTGCTGCTGCTGCTCCGGGGGAACTCGCGGGGGCTTCCCGCAGCCGCAGCAGGTGCAGCAGCAGCGCAGCGCTGTACACGGGGGGAGGCAGCAACTCGTCGGGGCTTGCTGTCAGAGACAACATGTGCAAAAAGTCTTCATGCATGTCTTTGTACAACACAGATCGAGAAGGATGAGCCACTGGCAAGAAGGACCGGACTTCCTGCACGGCCTTCGCAGCCACAGCGCCCGCACCACGCCACACGCAAACGCATGCAGCAGCAACAGCAGCAACAGCAGCAGCAGCGGCAACAGCAGCAGCAGCAGCAACAGCAGCAGCAGCGGCAACTGGTGCAAAAGCAGCTAACGCTACGCCGAACGATAGACAAGCAAAACCAAGCCGCCCGCAGCACGAATGCTACGCCGCCTACTGCAGGGGTGACAGCAGCAAAAGTAGCAGCAGCGACAGCAGCAGCAGCAGCAGCAGCAGCAGCAGCCTACTTTGGTCGCTCCACGGAAGACGTCCGGCCTGTCGACAATCCCAACGAGCCACGACTGTGTCAATGCATGCACCGGAGTCCTGCAGCAGCAGCAGCAGCAGCAGCAGCAGCAAAACGCCAAACTGCATCCAACTTTGAGTTGGAGAGCAGTGCAGCCGCACGGAAAGCCGCTAGAAAAGCATAAAGAGGAAAATCAAATAAGTCAAATAAAAGGAATTTGAAATATATAAATATTTATACAGAGGTACATATATAAGTATATACACATAAGCATATGTACAGAGGCCTTCATAAATAAAGAAGAGCTCTGTGTGAACTCTGCTGCAAAGCAACAAAGGCGCTTTTGGTGCTGCTGCTGTTTGCTGCTGCGTTTGCTGCTGCGTTTGCTGGTGCGTTTGCTGCTGTTCTGTTGCTTTAAGAGTCTACTCGAAGTCCTGTAGATCTATTTCTGCGGGCTCGCTGCAGCAAGCAAACAGACTGCAGCAGCTGCCTGGCTGGCTGCTGCTGGTCTGGGGGCTTGCTGCTGTAGCTGCAGCGCCGCAGCAGCAGCAAAAGGCCGGCAAAGACAAACCTGAAAAGAATAACGGGGAAGCCCTGAGACATGGGAAGCTTCAAAATTTGCAATTGAGCTGAGTCATACTGCAAGGGCCTGGCTGTGGGTCCCGTGTACTTTTGTTTTTTGTTTTTTTCCATTGTTTCTGTCTGAGGCAGCAGTGGAAGTATCTGGACTTTGAGTTCCTGGCTGCTGCGGGCTTGGCTGCCAGTTTGCTGCTTGTTTTTGCTTTTGCTGCTGTCTTGTCTGCGGTGGCGCTGCACCACATATCGGGGTTTGAGGATGAGGAGAGGCAAGTGGCAGCCGCTGAGTCCCACTGCAGCAAGCTGCTGCTGCAGCTGCTGCAGCCGCAGCGCAGTCCTGGGCTGCTGCTGCAGCTGCGCAGCCAGCCGCGGGGACCTGGCCTTGTCGCTGTCCGCCCCCGCCTCCTCCCGCTGCTGCTGCTGCTGCTTGCAGGCCCTGTACTGCAGCACGTGGGCCAGCACGAAGCGGCTGAGGGCTTTGCCCACTGCATGCAGGGGTTTGAAGGCCCCCAGGGAAACCCAGCGGACCCTCCGGGCTTCCCCTTTGCTGCTGTCGCTGCTCTCTTCTGCTGCTGCTTGCAGCTGCGACGAAGACACCCGAGAAGCAGCAGTTGTCAAAGAGGCCACCAGCGCCAACACACTTTCGTGGTCACCTTCCACTCCTATGTCGAACTCCAAAGTGTACACTGGCACTTCCACGCCGGAGTCCGCGCTGCGCCGCACGCCCCGCACGCGGTGTACAGACACCTCGGCACGCGCCCCACACCCCCGCTGTACGTACACCCCAAACGCCCCGCAGCAACTCCGGAGCCCGGGGGCCCCACAGGGCCCAACTTGGCGCAAATAAACCCTTTTCTCCCCCTCGTAAACCCTAAACCCTCAGTCCTAAACCCTCAGGCCCACCTAAAGCGAGTCAAAGAAAACGCATCCAAGTAATACTCCACGCTTTCCGCGTAGTTCTCGGGAGCGCCCATGTCCCCCGTCACGTGTACGTACACCGCAGACGTCTTGTGGGGAGCCAGCATCGAAAGTCCCAAGTTCAGGTGCAGTGTTCTGTCAAAAAAAGAAATAAAAGAAATAAAAACATAAATTAAAAACAAAAACCACAGATGCATGCATTCGGGCGACAAAGACTGCAATAGTTGCAGCCTGCGCTGCAGCAGCAACCGCCACCCAGCGGAGGGCAGCCTGCTGCTGCTGCTGCTGCTGTTGGAGGGCAGCCTCCAGCAGCAGCAGCAGCAGCAGCAGCAGCAGCAGCAGCAGCAGCACTATGCTCCGGAGTGGTGGGCGGGCTCCGCTGGCTGTGCCGCCACCAGGGCCTTGGAGAGGGCAGCAGCAACGACAAAGGCAGCAGCAGTTTTCCCTAGAGCTGCAGCAACGTCAGCAGCAGCAGAGACGGCGCCAGCAGCAACAGCAGGAGCACCCCTGCCACCCGCGTCCCGCGTGAGCAGCAGAAGCAGCAGCAGCAGCGGCCGCAGCAGCAGCAGCAGCAGCAGCAGCAGCAGTTTCTTGGTTTACCCAGTGGAGTCGTCCCCGAAGAGGACCAAAGGGTCTATGGGAGCGGGATCGGCGTAGAAGTTGTAGGCGACTTCGACGTTGCTGGAGACGCGGTGCTGCTGCTGCTGCTGCTGCTGCTGCTGCAGCTTCCTGGGGGCCCAGTGCAGGGGCCTCCGCACCGTCAAACGCCCCGTCAGCCGGTGCGCAATACCCAGCAGCCGCTCGCTCGCGGAGGCCCCCGAGGGGGACCCACTGGGGGCCCCCCTGCCGGAGCTGAGGACTCTGTGGCTCCAGGATCTGGAGGAGTTTGTTGCAGCTGCGTCGCTGTCCCCGGGGGCCTCTTCCCCGAGCGCGGGGGCCCCCTGGGGCCCCAGGGGGCCCCTGTGGGGCCCCAGGGGGCCCCCCAGGCCCTGCGCGGGGGCCCCCGCAGCCAGCGGGGGGCCCCCCGCGGCCTCCTCACCCCACGGCCTCGGAGAACCCAACACTGAAAAGAAATATGCCGGAGACAAAGCCTCCCTAAGGCGGCCAGAAACTGAAGAAGTTCGCCCGCTGTCGTGGTGCATGCGAATCAGCAGCTCTGCATACACGCATGCAGCCTGCGAACAAACCCCACAGCGCAGCCCAAACCCTAAACCCTAAACCCTAAACCCTAGGCCCTACGCCCCACGCTGCAAGCAGGCAGAATGATGCAGACATATTAGGGGTCGTCGGAGCAGATTAGCGGCTCTGTAAACCCTAAACCCTAAACCCCAAACCCCTTACACCGCACCCAACCGCTGGCTGGCTCTGTAAACCCTAAACCCTAAACCCTAAACCCTAAACCCTAGGGGATTACCTTCTCGCCAGCCCTGGAGTCCGCAGAAAACGTAGACAGAAAAGGCAGCGAATTGCGACGGCCAAAGGCCCAGCGGCGGCCCACAGCCCAGCAGTCTTGGCGGTGAGAGCGGATACAGTGCATAGCCAGCACCTGCGCAGCAGCAGCAGCAGCAGCAGCAGCAGCAGCAGCAGCGGATGGTGCAGCAGCAAGCGCAGGGCGGCGGGAGCCTTGCATTCGAGTGCAGCACGAACAGACCCCACAGCGAACGACGCAAGCCCAGAGCCTCAGCCCCAGTAAACCCTAAACCCTAAACCCTAAACCCTAAACCCTAAACCCTAAACCCTAAACCCTAAACCCTAAACCCGCAAACCCTAAACCCTAAACCCTAAACCCTAAACCCTAAACCCTAAACCCTAAACCCTAAGCTGACCACTGCCCTAAACCCTAAACCCTAAACCCTAAACCCTAAACCCTAAACCCTAAACCCTAAACCCTAAACCCTAAAACAAAACCCTAAACCCTAAACCCTAAACCCTAAACCCTAAACCCTAAACCCTAAACCCTAAACCCTAAACCGCAAACCCTAAACCCTAAACCCTAAACCCTAAACCCTAAACCCTAAACCCTAAACCCTAAGCTGACCACTGCGCACCTGCTTGGTGGCGGTGACCAGCAGCTCTTCGAGCTGCGCATCAAAGGCCCGAGAACGAAACACAGACCGCAGCATCACCAAAGAAGAAGGTCTCGAAGACAGCAGCAAAGGACTCATCGGCCACAAACTTTGCCCCTCTTCTGCTGCTGCGCTCAGCAGCGCCGCGTGCTGCAGCGCCGCCACCCGCTCGCTCTGCACGCGCGAGGCCCACGACGCGGACTCCCCCCAGGGGGCCCCGGGGGCCCCCTGGGGGGCCCCGGGGGGGCCCCCGGGGGCCCCCCCGGGGGCCCCCGGGGGCCCCCCGGGGGCCCCCGGGGGCCCCCAAGATGGCATGCGGGGCTCGGGTATGCCCTCTGTCGAAGTGATGTGGGGGCCCAGAGAAACTAAAAATAACAAGTGAGCCATTCCTGCAGGCAAAGGTAAAGGGCAGCAGCAGCTGCATGCATCACAATTCCTCACAACGCAGCAGCAGCAGCAGCAGCAGCAACAGCAGCAGCAGCAGCAGCAACAGCAGCAGCAGCAGCAGCAGCAGCAGCAGCAGCAGCAGCAGCAGCAGCAGCGGGGAAGCAACTGCCGGCGCAGTGGCAGCAGCAGGCGCCGCTGCCCAGGGTGCTTCTGTGCGTTCGACTGGAAACAGGTGACTAGAAGCCGCAAACCCCAGCCCCTAGAGGCCCAACCCCAAACCCTATACCCAAACCCTAAACCCTAAACCCTAAACCCTAAACCCTAAACCCTCACCCGGAAAGGGAGTCGCGAAGGGGAGGCGGCGGGAGTCCAGGCTGCCAGGCCGGAGCGTGGGAAGCCGCAAACCCGAAGAAGAAACCAAAAAGCCATCGACAGAAACCACCGGAAGAACAGAAAGAAAACGGGCCCCAACTCTTTGCCAAGCATCCATCACAAGGGGCACTCCTTGCTGCTGCTGCTGCTGCTGCTGCTGCTGCTGCTGCTGCTGCTGCGCCGGCTGCGCGGGCGCCGGCGGGCTGCCCCCACCGCCGCTGCTGCTGCTGCTGCTGCTGCTGCTGCTGCTCGCTTTGCCCGCCTCCGAGGCCCTGGCTTCCACGTACACAGGCCGCACCGCGGGGTGCTTCGGGGGGGCCCTCTCGGGGCCCCCGTGGGGGCCCCCCTGGAGGCCCTCGGGGGGGCCCCCCTGAAGGGCCCCCGGGAGGAAAGAAGCTGCTGCTGCAGCAGCATACATACTCAGCGAGTCAAAGGCCTCCTGCATGCTTTGCTGCAGCCCGGGGGCCCCCACTAAACGAGAAACTGGGAGAGGAGGCAAAAGAAAGAGCCTCTCGGGGGCCCCCTGGCTGTGCCCTTCTGGGTCGGGGGCCCCCGGGGGGCCCCCCCCCGCTGCAGCAGGGGCCCCCGCGCCCTGGGCCAGCTCGGGGGGGGCCCCCCGAGGCAGCGGCAGCAGCACCGGAGCAGCAGCAAGACCTGCAGCATCTCCCAGGCGGATCTGCTCTCCTGTGGCTCTTGTTGCTGCAGCAACTGCTGCAACACGAGCAGCAACATGCTCCGAAGTCATCTCCCCCATGCTGCTGCTGCTGCTGTGAAAAGTCTCCAGCGCCCCCTCATCTACACCCAAAAAGGGGGCCCCCTGCGAGCCCTTCGGGGGGCCCCCCAGGGCCTCCCCCAGCAGGGGGGCCCCAGGGGGGTTCCCAGGGGGGTCCCCACGGGGGTCCCCAGCGGGGTTCCCAGGGGGGCCCCCAGGGTCACCCCCAGGGGGGCCCCCAGGGGGCCCCCCAAAGTGCCCTCCAAGGGGCCCCCAAGGCGGCCCCCCGGGGGGGCCCCCAGGAGGCCCTTTAGGGCACTTGTGTCTATTTCTATAGAGGGAAGGGGACGGGGCGAGAGGCCGAACTTCTGCTGCTGCTGCTGCTGCCACGGGTGCTGCTGCTGCTGCAGCAGCAGCTGGTGCTGCGCGTGGAGCTGGCGCTGCTGCTGCTGCCGCTGCTGCTGCTGCTGCTGCAGCACAAAGTCCGGGGGGTCGTCAAACACAAACAACTCCTCCCCATTAGACTCTTCAGCAGCAGCACTTAGGGGCCCCCAGAAGCAGCAGGGGGCCCCCCCGGCCCCCGGGGCCCCTGAGGGTACAGCACTGCCCAGGGGGGCCCCCCTCGGCTCCTGCTGCAGCGGCGCGGGCAGCAGCAGCAGCAGCAGCAGCAGCAGCAGCAGCTTGTTGAAAGGGTTTTGCGGGAGGTTTGCGAGCCGCCTTAGTAGGCCCCAGGGGGCCCCCAAGGGGGGGCCCCTACAGGGGCCCCCAGGGGCCCTCCGGGGGCCCCTGGGGGGCCCCCCCGAGGGTCCAAAAGCCCCGCTGCAGCTGCGGGGGGCCCCCAAGTGCAGCATGAGAGGGTACTAGAAAAGAAGACAAGCGCGGGGGCCCCTGGACATCTACGGCGAGGCCGAGACATTCATAAATAAAAAATAATGAAGTTTATAATTTTTAATTTAATTATTTAAAATAAATATAATTAATTATTTTTAATAATTGAAGTTCCCTTTAATTCGTCTTCGCCGAATTCCCAACTTTTCCAAAGACACGCAGCACGCCTGTTCGCTGCTGCTGCGCCTGGGGCCCAAAACCCTGCTGCTGCAGCGAACCCAGCAGCAGCAGCAGCAGCAGCAGCAGCAGCAGCAGCAGCAGCAGCAGCAGCGAGCTGCTGCGTTGTCTTCTGGGAGTGCTGCGGCTGCTGCTGCTGCTGCTACTTCTTCTGCTCCTGCTTTCGCTGCCTCGGCCTGCTGCTGCTGCTGCTGCTGGCCCCCACTGCAGCGCCTTTCTGCTGCGGCTGCAACTGCTGCTGCTGCTGCGGCTTTTGCTGCTGCTGCTGCTGCTGCTGCTGCTGTTGCTTTTCCCGCCTTTCCTGCTGCGGCGTTTCAGATGGGCAGACGTTCGAGAGAAATTCAGAAAACTGCTGCTGTCTTCGCCTGTCAGCTTCCGTGAGCTGCTGCTTCGGCTGCTGCTGCTGCTGCTGCTGCTGCTGCTGCTGCTCCGGCTGCAGCTCCTGCTGCTGCAGTGTCTGCGTAGCAGCAGCAGCAGGAAGCAGCGGCCGCTGCACGGCACGATGCAGCTTCTGGATGGGCTGCCTTCGGCGGCCTCGTGAGCGGGTTTTTCGCAGCTCTTGCTGCTGCGGCTGCTGCTGCTGCTGCTGCTGCTGTTGCTGCTGCTGCTGCTGCGCCTCGGCCGCTGCAGCAGCAGAGGCCTCACTCGAGACTGCCTGTTCACGGGGCCCCTGGGGCTGACGACCCCCGCCGTGGGCTTCCTGAGTTAAAGTTGCTGCTGCAGCAGCTGCTGCTGGAGGTGTTGCGGCAGTTGGAGCAGCGGCTGCTGCTGCTGCTGCTGCTGCCGCCTCTGGTGCTGCAGCCGCAGCAGCAGCAGCAGAGGACCTCTGCTGGTCTCTCCGGAAGAAGTAGCCAGCTAAGGCGCTTCCCGCAATTGTAATGAGCATACAACCTCTACATTAGGGTTTAGGGTTTAGGGTTTCGTGTCTTGTGCGAGGCATTTCCAGTATAGATCGAGCCCACAGAGCCCCCGCTCGAGGGCCCGGCCTGCGCCGCCCCTAATGCGGGGGTTTAGGGTTTAGGGTTTAGGGTTTACAGAGAGCGGGTTCTTGGAAGCAAATAATATAAAAATGATTGCAAAGGAAAGCAGCAGAGGCGGCGACAGTGCGCGTGAGCTGTACGTACACCCGAAACGCCTCTGGGCTGGTGCTGAGCATCGACTTCGTGCTGCAGTGTATCTCCACCAAGCCGCGTTTCTCGCAGCAAATATTCTTTTGAATTAAATTTAAAAGTTTATTTTATTTTGTTTTCCGCTTTTAAAACTCCCTTTTGCCTGCGGCGGCCCTCCCCGCCAGCCCGCGGCCGCCAAACCCTCGCTGCGGCTGCAGCCGGACGACTCCCAAACCCTAAACCCTCGAAGCCCGCTAAACCCAAACCCTCAAACACTACTAAACCCTAAACCCTAAACCCTAGACAGCGGCTTATCTCGAGGCCCTGCGAGCCCCTACACACCCCCAAACCCTAAACCCTCAGCTCTCCAAACTGGGGCACAAAGCCCAAGGTCCTCGTCGAGGGTTTACGTCGAGGGTTTACGCTTTTGAGGGTTTAGGGTTTGCTGCTTCACAAAACCCTCAATGCCGGGGGCCCCCTCTGTGCAGCCTGGGGGCCCCCGGCGGCGCCCACGTACTGGAGAACTCCAGCTGCGCGCTGCTGCTGCTGCTGCTGCTGCTGTGCTGCTGCTGCTGCAGCAACACCCCAGCAGCAGCAGCAGCACAGCAGCAGCAGCAGCAAGCGGCGCAACTGCTGCGTTTCGTCTGCCCCGCAGCCATCGGGTGTCTCGACGGTTGGGGTTTAAATTTAAATATTTGTTCATTAAACAAACTAGAAAACCCTAAACCCTAAACCCTAAACCCTAAACCCTTTTCAGTCCCAATAGACGCGCCAGCAAAGCGGACGTTGCTGCTGCTACCTAGGCTCTCCAGCAGCAGCAGCAGCAGCAGCAGCAGCTGCTGCTGCTGCAGCAGCAGCAGCAGCAGCAGCTACGGCAAAACAGCAGACTGCCCAAGATTCCTTGTCCCTTCAAGCTCCGCCATCAGGTCGGAGTGTTCTGCAAACAGCTGCGACAGCCGGTTCTCCTGAGCACAAACCCTAAACCCTAAACCCTAAACCCTAAACCCTAAACCCTAAGCCCTAAACCCTAAACCCTTGAGGCGCCTGCTGTCGCAAAGCCACCCAGCAACAGCCCCTTGCTAAACCCTAGTTATCGAACCTTAGACCGGAGCAGCAGACCGCCCACCTACAAACCCTAAACCCTAAACCCTAAACCCTAAACCCTAAACCCTAGGTCCTACGCCCTTCGTCCTAGGCCTCTGCTGCTGCCCCCCAAGCTCCGCCTCGCTGCGCAAGCCCGAACCCCAAACCCTAAACCCTAAACCCTAAACCCTAAACCCTACCATCTGCTGCTTGCTTCGCGCCACAACCTCCTGGAGGGCCTGCAGCTTTTTCAACTTCAAAGAAACTCTTCTCATTTGAACTTCTGCAACAGACCGCAGCAAACAGCCGATGTTTTGCTGCTCGAGTTGCTGCAGCTCTGCTGCACTTGCTGCTCCTGCTGCTAGGGCTGTTGCTGCTGCCACCTGCAGCGCCTCTTCCCCCACAAGCAGCTCCTTGCTGCTGTTGCTGCTGCTGCTGCTGCTGCTGCTGCTGCTGGTCTTCCCCTCTGCTGCTGCAGCTGGCGCTTCCTGCTTCACGCCCACTCCGTTGGCCCCCCCTTCTGCTGCTGCTGCTGCTGCTGCTGCTGCTGCAGGCTCTGCTGCAGCGCCCTCCCTGTCCGCCGCGCCGCCGCCCCCAGCGCTGCTGCTGCTGCTGCTGCTGCTGCTGCTGGCAGCAGCAGCAGCAGCAGCCTGCCCCTCCTTCTCCGGCAGCAAATCCTTGCTGGGAACTGCCAAATTAACTGCTTCCTGCAGCGCAGCTCTTGCTGCTGCTGCTGCTACTGAGGGGTGAACTACAGAAGAGAGAAAAGCCAAAAGCGACAATAAAGGGTTTGCGAAACTCGAAAAGGGGGTTTGCTCTGTCCCGCTGTGCGCACACGCAAACCCTAAACCCTAAACCCTAAACCCTAAACCCTCACGCCCAGCGCCCCGCCAAACCCTAGGCTCCAAACCCCCAAATCCCCACGCAAACGGGGCACGTCAGGCCCAAACTGCAAACCCTAAACCCTCGATTCCCCTTGCCACGAATCTAGGGTTTAGGGTTTACGGCTTAGTTCGACGGACCCCGGGCTAGGGTTTAGGGTTTAGGGTTTAGGGTTTACACCGAAATATCTACGGCGCCTAAAGCCGCGCCACCAGCTCCACGCCCGCAGCTGGGGCCCACGGCCCGCCCAAGCACCTAGGGTTTAGGGTTTAGGGTTTAGGGTTTAGGGTTTACCTGACGACGTGTTTGCTGGCCTCCAGAAAAGGCTCTTGAGTTGGAAGTTTTATAAACCGCTCGACGCACTGCTGAGGTGTACGTCCACCTCCCACGTGTTCCGCCACTTCATCCCAATCATCTTTGTGCAGCTCAATGGCCTCTGCGCAGCCAAACCCTAAACACTGAAACCCTAAACCCTAAATTAGGGTTTAGCGTTTCAGCCGCGCCTCCGGGCCCGCAGGCACTACCCGCGCGACAGCCTCAGCCGCTGCTGCAGGGCTGCAGCCCCTGCGGTTTAGGGTTTAGGGTTTGCTGACTCAGGGTTTCGGGCTGGCCGTCTAGGGTTTAGGGTTTGCTGATTTAGGGTTTGTGAGTCCCCGAATTAGGGTTTAGGGTTTACCAATCAACCTCTCTATCTCGTCCAGCTGCCAGTCGCTTCCGTCCGCTGTTGCCCCCGCAATCAGAAGATCCACCTGTGCAAGCACCCCAAACCCTAAACCCTAAACCCTAAACCCTAAACCCTAAACCCTTTTCCATAAGCCACGAGGCCAAGCCCTAGCCCCAAACCCTAAACCCTCAAGGTGAAACCCCAAGTCTGGCGCCGCAAAGCCTAGAGCTGCAGACTACGCTAGGGTTTGGGGTCTAGGGTTTAAGCGCTAGGGTTTAGGGTTTAGCAATTAGGGTTTAGGGTTTAGGGTTTACCTTCACGAAGTTGCGGGATGTGAGCACATGGGGATAGCGACCCTCCGCGTAGCAGCGAAGACACCACACGCAGCTGTCCATCACGCCCAAAGAAACTCCTGCAGCAGCAGCAGCAGCAGCAGCAGCAGCAGCAGCAGCATCAGCAGCAGCAGCAGCAGCAGCAGCGTGAGCAGGGTCAACAGCAGCAGCAAAGCAGCAGCAGCAGCACACTGCGCACCAAAACCAGCACGTCAGCGGCTTCGCTGCTGCCACACAAGCACACGTCGTTATCCCCAAACCCTAAACCCTAAACCCTAAACCCTAAACCCTAAACCCTAAACCCTAAACCCTCACCCGCAGTGCCCCCTGGCTTTAGTATGTAGTAAGAATAGAGGCAAATTTTGCCGCAGGAGACGCAGCGCCAAGGCCCTTCTCCTTGAGGTGCTGCGCTGGTCTCTGCTGCTGCTGCTGCTGCTGCTGCTGCTGCTGCTCCGTGCTGCTGCAGCTTCTCATAAATGGATGCGCGGCTCCAGCTCTGCGCGCACAAACCCCAAACCCTAAACCCTAAACCCTAAACCCTAGTCTCTGAACTCCCAGTTCCCAAACCCCAAACCCCTGCTGCTGCTGCTGCTGCTGCTGCTGGCAAACCCCGCTCGCGCCCGTTTGCAGCGCCGCAGGCGGCGCGTCTGGAAATTAGGGTTTAGGGTTTAGGGTTTAGGGTTTAGGGTTTAGGGTTTGGACCTGCATATCCTTCA